AGACCATGTAGTAATACTGGGATATTCTGCAGGCTCCTGCAATGGTCACTGTGGATTGCAGGTTCATGGTAGCCTCCATCAACAGGATTTTAGTGCTCAATGAATTAGGGTTTAGGTGTAAATCTCAATTGTTTCAATGTCAAAGCTTTGGCTTTCTGCAGTAGAAGGTAAATACTTGACCAAGCAGTGCCCCTGTCTGCTCAGTACTTTGCCAAATGGAGTCTGGATCAGAATGGAAACACATCAGTGGGGTTCACTCCATCACTATCCTTAGTCTGGTCTCTGAGTCAGGGCTGAACTGTGTTTCACAGGTGATTCAAACTGATTCTGAACCAGCTTCAGAATCAGAAATTATCAAGATTATAGTCAGAAATGATTATTTTTCCTTGAAAGGAGAAAATTGAAATCAGCATCTGACATATATCATCATCAGATGTCAGCCAGAAGTCTGGGAAGACCAATGTAAACCCAGTCTTTTGTTTAATAGGTTTCATTAACTTATTGTTTCCCTGAAAATTACAGTGTTTTGCTTTTTCACGTTTCTCTGTTTTTTCCCCCCAAAGTATCTCTTTTACTGAACATGTGAGCCTTTCTTCAAGTCTAGAAGTTTCAAAGCCACAAATCTTCGTGTCTAAACTACTGTGTCTGTCAAGGGGGGGAGGCAGTTACTGTGCTACAGTTCATTTGTTGGCTGGCAGATATATCTCCTGAAAACAAAGACTTGAGACATGAGCTTGATCCAGCAAAAAATGAAGTGCACTTAAAATTTTAAAGGTTAGCCTGTAAGTGAGAATGGTGTTTGCTGTATGAGGCACGATGTTTTTCTTAGCTCGTACTTGTACCCAGAAGGCGTCAGGCAGCCAGTGGCAAAGATTTTGTGAATTTCTATTCACCCTGACAGATTTGTGCTGATGTAGGTGTCTGTTAGGGCTTTGAACAATTTTATATTTGTGTACTTAAAAGTGTAATAGTGAAATTATTAAAGGGAAAGAGTGTAAGAGGGGAAATTTTGGGGCAGAGAGGGGTAAAATGTTGCAAGTGCATCTACAATGGCACAGATTTGATTGAAGCCAGAAGCCAGGCTGGGGCCTGGGAGGCATCACTTCTGCTCTGCTATTGCTTCCCACCATAACCACAATGGACTCACCTCGTTTCTGCCTAATCACTTGTATTTACAACATACAACTTTCTATTGCTCGGGGTGGGCCGAGGGTGGGGCTTTTGTTGCCAGGCTGGCAGTCCCATCCCTGCTGGCTGCAGCGGGTGATGCTGCGGTGCAGGAGCTGCACGGGTGCTGAGGGAAGAGCTCAGGGCTGTGGTTTCACGACACATTGGGCTGCTGCATCTGAAATAACTGAGCAGGGCATGTGTCTCACTGCACGGCTCCTTCGTAGGTTGACTCATGGTCTACACAGCTGTATGCAGGGGAATGAGTAGCTGGTGCAACAAAGACTGTTTATTTTCTCATCTTAAACATATGGTAACAGGTGGAGATTTCTCATTGTATGAGCTGGAGGCAGTTTGTGTCTTGGATTTCCTACCTCCATGGAGAGACTTGCCATTGGAAGGCAAGTCTCTTTGCCTGCCTTGAAGTCCAAATTGCTTTCTGGAGGTGCCTTGATACCTCTCTGTTGACAGAACTCAGTGCAGTCACTCTCACAACCTGGAATACATCCAAGTGTTCACGTTGATGTTAGGTGAAAGTCAACCAAAATGCTGGTCTTGGTGCTGAACAATAATCAACATTAATGAGCCTTTTGGTCATCTTATGCCTTATTCACAGAGGGACAACCTGGTTAAATCAGTCAGGAGAGGGTGAGTGCTCAGGGTGGGATGTGTCCTCCACCAGCCCATGGTTAACTGGTAACCCCAGAGCCCCGTTCTGCTGTGGCTGCTGGTGCATCTGTGCAGACCAGGGACAGTCCCTTGCCCAGATGGCTCCCCCCTCGCTCTGTGACACTGAAGGTGGTCAGCAGTGGGTGGCAGTGATGTGCTCTGCCTGGACATGGACTTCCCTGCCTCCTCCCACAGCTCAAAGTGAGTAAAATCTGACTTGCAAAGCTCTGGGGGTGAGAGAAGGCAAAGGTGCACTGTAGGGACACTGTGCCTGAAGGGAGTGTCAGCTGGCTTTCAGGTTCTTTTCCTCTTTTGCTTCCTCAAACCTGTTTCTTCCCCACACCATCTAGAATCATTATGCTGCTGAGGACAGGGATTTTGGTCTTTGCATGCTTCCCTCTCTGCCGGAGGGAGACTTCCAGCAATTCCAATAATAATAATAATAATAATGCAGGGACAGCTTTCCCTTCTGCATCCAAGGGAATATTCTCCTGTGAGTGCAGTGGGAACAGCACTGGGTCCTGTGGCTGTGTGGGAAAGAGGAAGGCGCAGTGGCAGAATAAATAACTAAAGCTGTGAAGGAGAAAGGTCCATCTGTTCACAGAGGACCAGGAAAAGGCCAAACATCTGCAAGGTCCCCCCAGTTCATCAGGCATCTGCTCTCTGCTTCCCAGTCTAAAAATCTTCCCACTTGTGGGGAGAGTGGAGCCAGCAGCTTATCTAACACAGGATGGAGACAGCAGAGCTGGGCTGGGATGTGGTAGAGCCAGCTGTCTCCTACTGCAAAGTGTTTTCTTCCAAACTCTAGGAGAGAGCTCTTGTCCTTCGCTCCTTTTCTGAAAAATCTTGCCAATTTTTTTTTTTTTCTTTCAAGAGGAGTGGGTCTTCCAAAGGGGCAAAAATGGTATTTTGTTTATGCTTAATCTAATGGTTATTGTTAGATACAGACTTCTGATTATGCAGAAAACCTGGCCCTTTCCCTGTCTCATCTCCTCCAGCACAATCTTTACCTTGATTTTCCTTAGGTGTTTTGAAGAATTGTAATAAAGCAAGAGTGTCTGACTAATGTGCTGTGCAGGGAGATCAGTCTTAGGCATCGGAGCCAGGACTGACTGAAAAACATCATTTAAAGCACAATCTTGAGAAGTCTGTGTTCACTGGAGTTGAATTTGTTTGCAAAATCATGTTGGCTGGTTGGAGGGTCATTTACAGAGCAAAGGAGAAAAGTTTAAGAAGCACTCAAATATCCCAGCATTTTTTAGAATGAACCCCTTAGATATTAATTTCAAAATCTCTCTACTTTTCTTTTTATTTTGTATTGTATTTCACATTATTTAAAATAAAAGATTTGATTAATTATCAGGCAATGAGGAAGATACTGCAGATATTATTGGACATAATTTTTTTAAAAATCAATCCTGAACTCTATAATAGCATGAGCCAGTGGGTTTCATGGGATTTTATGTATTGGAGCAAGCATGATTGTCTTAAATTAGTTTTCAGTCTGTTGTTTTTGAGCTGTCTTTGAGCATCTGTATTTAGGACAATACTTTCTTAGGGATTCGGAAGGGGTTTTTGAGTCCTATCCATGCTCATTTTGGGGAAAGTGGGAAGAAATTACTTTCCTGTTAAATAACATCTCTGAAAGTCCTAGGGGAAGTTTGTGTCTTTCAACAGTAATTCAAAATAGAAGAGAAAAACTTTCAAGGGCTGCAGACCCATCTGCTTCCCATGGCAGAGAGCTTGAAAGTGTTGTGCTGGCAGTGCTGCCCAGCTGGTGCCTGTGCCTGGTCTGGGCTGAGCCTAGGGCTTTAAACCTGGGCATAGGTGGTCCAGAAGGCTGCAGGTCACAGGAGTTTGGCTCAGCACCTTCCTCAGTGGTTTGGAGCCTGCTCCTTAGCATTTAGGGATGGTGCTGAGGGCCTCTGGCCTGGACACAGTGTGATGCTGCATGGAGATCTGGAGGGTCAAGCAGGGAGCTCACATTTCCTTCCAAAAGCAACAGTTCCTATATATGTGAGATATCACATTTTATTAATCTGAAACCTTCCATCCCAGATGCTGCACGCACAAGAGCCAACAGCAAACAGCTCTACTTGCAGCATCAATCTTCATAGGAAGAAATAAAAACATACCAAAGTGGTCCAAATTGCAGGCAGCTGCCTCCCCTGGAGACAAATCCAGTGCTAATGGCAAATGCTCTTTTTCCACCATTAGGAGGTGCTTTGAGAGCTTGGTGGCCTGCTGCCTGCAGCCTGTGCTGCTTTGTCCTTGTTTTCTTTCTCCTTTCTGGTCCCACATCCCATGAAATTCTCAAGGAGAACTTCTCTCTGCTCCCACCTCCCATCTCTATGCTAAGCTGGCTGGCTTCACAGCCAGTATTTGCTGCTTTGTCTTCCCATCAGCACTTCTGGAAGATAAACTTGAGCAAGTTGTATTCTAGAAATTTTGTACATCAGCCCCCTTGTAAAAATCCAGAGTTAGGAGAGGTGGATTCATGTGTGCTTGCACCTGGCCCATCATGTGACTGTTGTCACTGAGAAGGGCCTGTGATCTTCCCAGCAGTTCTTTACATGAAGCTATGAAGTCCCTATTGGAAGAGGAAGATGCAAAGAGTGTGTCTGCCTGCCAGCAGCAGGGCTGCAGGAGATGGGCTGGCCTGGATTCTGGGCTCCAGCTCCAGCCCTCTGTGTGTTGCCTGCAGCAGGGAATCCCTGCTTTTGGACAGCTCTTGATGCTGTCTTTATAGAGATCAAGAAGAGCTGGTGTAGTTTAGCACATGAGGGAGATGAATTGGATGGGATCCATTGCAAGGTTAGACACAGGGTGTTCATTAGTGCAAGTTTTGTGTTTGCCTGTGGTAGGTTTGAGATGTGACTTGGATCTGTGGAGCTGCTTGTTGGTGCCTTTGGACTTTGTGGCACATCACCTTTTGCTGTGGAATCTGAGCACCCCTAAGCCATCTGCCAGTGTTACTCAGCTGTGTAGCCATTTCCTGAAGCAGTGAGGGGTGAAGCTGAGCATTTAATGGTCAAGTAATGTGTTATGTCCTGTGCCACAAAACCGATGGGCAGAGCTAAGAGTATTGCAGGGTTCCTCCTGATCATCCACGTCATGATGTGGGAAATGCTGCTGAGTTTAAATTCTCTCCTTCTCTCTCCTAGGGGACTTCCTTCCTCCCCCTCCCCCTCCTGTGGATGACCTTGGGAACATCACATCATCACAAGGTGCCTTTCCCCCCCCACCCCCTCTGGATGATGTTACTTACAATGTACAGGTAAGAGGACAAGAATTTTGTCATTTGTGCAGAACTGATCCAGAAATTGTGGAAATGAATGAATGATATTACAACGAGGTGGCAAAGTTCTGGTTAAAAATCATGGGTCAGGAATAACGAAGTCAGCTTTAGCAAGCTGTGTTTCCCAAGCAGGGAGTATTTCCATTCAAAACTTACTGGGCTATTAAAGGATTTTTCCCATCCGGCTTGAATTAGGAGACTAATTGCCTTATGTCGTTGTGATGGCGGATGGGAGTGGAACCTTCCCAGAGTGAATTGTTTTCTGGAATGGCCATCTCCTTCCATGGACTGTGGAGAGACTTTAGGGCAGTAATCTGATCCTGAAAGTGCTTTGTTTAGATGCCTAAAATTAAGTGAAGCAAATAAGCCCTGGCCCAGGCTCCAGTGATGTAATTGAGACCCTTTTCACCCTCGTTTTGCTGGCTTGGATCTTCTAGATTGGCCACCTGGATGAAAATACAACTTCTGAGGTGCATCAGGTGATGATGGTAGGTCCAAACTGAGTATGGACAGGCCTTGAACACCTTTACAAGATATGAATACTTTTGTGCCAGTATTGCAGGTTTGCCTGGAGTGCCAGGTTTATGTTTGCTCAGGCACATTCTGGAGAAATATGTTCAGACTTCTGGGACAAGGCAGTCAAAGTGATCAAGGAGTGAGGAGCTGATCTTCCAAGTGGAGACCAGAAGAGTTTGTCTTGTTAGCTGAGCAAAAGGAAGGCTGAGGATGGGTCTGGTTGCAAATTTGAAATACACTTGGGGAATAAACCTGTATTTCAGCTCTGTGTGGGTGTTGGTGCAGGAACAGGAGAGCCTGAGCTTGCCAGAAGTACCTCCGTGCTGGTGTTTAGAAATTTTCTAAGCTCTGGGGCTCCAAAGATCTGGAAGAGCCTTCTTTAAGAAGTGGTGAGAACAAAGAGAGCATGGTCTAGGTTTGAGGCTGCTGGGAGTCATGTAACCACATATCCAAAGACATGGGGCTGCCCTTGATGGCCCTGGAAGAATTGTGGCAGTCCTGTATCCCTTGGTGGGTTTGAACATGAGAGTAGGCCAGCAGGCAGGCATTAAAGAGAATTCAAAGGACCTGACTTAGTTTCTGACCCTTTCACCAACTCAGACTCACTTTGTCTGCTTTGTGCCTTGGGAAAAACAAAACATTCCCCTCCCTCATGGGTTTACTGGGATGGCAAAGCCTCAGCCTTTCCTTCAATGGGCTCAGTGTTGGAAGCAGCCTTTGAGCAGGAAGGGGTTAATGGGGATTGTGTTCTCCCTTGCCAGGAAAGGCTGCGGCAGTCAGGGACATTGCCAAGTGCAGAGCATGGCTTTTCCCAGCCTTGGGGGAATGAAGTAATTCCCCAGCAAGTGTTGTTCTGTCTTTTATCTCTCTGAGAAGAGCGGCCCCCGTGGGAGCAGGGAGCTTCCAGAGCCCTGGGAAGCCGTGGAGCAGCCGGCTCCTGGCAGAGGCCGGGCACTGCCTGCATGGAGCCTGCACGGCAGCCTGGGCAGCAGGAAGGGGTTCTGGTGCCCCACAGGATTCCTCAGGTCAGGCTTCCCCCTTCCCAGGTCACCCAAGGAGAGGGCCTGGTGTGTTTATTGAAAGGAGCTCGCTCCTGCCGTGGCTCCAAAAGTGTCCCTGAGCCCTCGAGGCTGCCACGGGGCTGTGCCTCTTGGTAGAACCACTCAGCAGGACAGCTCTTCCCTCTGAACTCATGGAATTGCTATTTGTCACACCCTTTCTCTCTGGCTTTATAAAACTGGGACTGGAGCTGTGTTCACTGTGGGGTTTTAGCCAGAGCTTGGTTAGAGCAGGATTCCTTTGCATGGTGAGCCTGGCAGTTGTACCTGAGCAGTCCTGCCTGTCACCATCCCAAATGTACTCTCATGCAGCAAACAGAGCTCCCTGCCTTTCCCTGTCTTTCATCTGTGATCAGAGAGGTCACCTATTCCTCTCCCTTTTCCTTTCCATTTTCTGTAGGAGATCAGGAGCAGGCAAAAGTCAGGGCTAAAGTCAGGAGCCAGCAGGGTTTTGTGTTGCAAGATCAGCTCCTTATCTCTCAGGAGCAGCAAAAGTCATGCTGAAGCAAGATGTAAAGCCCAAGAGAGGAGGAAAAGGGCAGGTGGTGCTGGAGAAAGCTGCCCAATGCCTTTGTGCATCAAACACAGTAATTTTCTCAACTCTGGACAGGCGTTCTTGTGCTAAAGGAGCAGAACAAATGGTGACTGTGTTCTGTCTGCTGTGAGGACATGGTTGTCTGGAATCAGGGATCTTGTGAACATATGTTGTATTGGGCTCCAAGAGGCTGATTTTGCTCTCCAATGCCAGACCATTTAATTTCCATGCCTCAGTTTCCCCATTGCTAAATATAAGCACTGGAGCAGGAGACCCAGTTCCTGAGCATTGCCCAGACCTGAGGCTGCTGTCTGGGTGGTTTGGCCCCTCTGGACCTGGTGAGACCCCTCCAGATCTACTCCAGACTATGAAATTCCTCTGTTCCATCAAATCAGCTATTTTACATCAGAAATTTCTCTCTGGATAGTACAGTGCTGATGACAGATTATGAAGTATGTGTGCTATGGGGCTCCAGGTAAAGCTTTTCATACTAGGTGTTAAGTTGATGAGGACAGCAGGATAAATGTTTAGTTTATTATCAGTTTGTGTGTTACTGTTACCAGAGGGCTGAAAGCTGCACAGCTTATTACAGTTTAAGCTGTAGCTTAAGAGCAGCAGTTAAAGTAATACCCAGTTTTCATAGACCTGTTTATCTCTGGATCTCTGTTTGGACAGTGGAACTGGCCACTTAGGATCAGATCCAAAAAGGTACTTTAGTATCTGACTTATGCTCTGATGGAAATTAGAGGAGGGCTGGATCATAAAATACCTTTGTGATAGATCTGGCATTTTCTTGTAATTTCTGTTTTCCCATCTAGATCCGTCATATTCGGATTCACAGCAGGGCTGTGGGGAGGAAAGGGGAAGGAAATTTTAACTCCTTTCTTATTAACTGGAATGCTTTTTTTTTTAGAAATAAAAAAAAAAAAAAAAGGAAAGAAAAGGCAATATTTATTTTTAAAAGAGTGTGTTTGGGCTGGGGGAGAGTTGTGTTGGGAAGTTCCCCTTTGGCTGCAGCGGGGGAAGGCAAGGACTTGTTCCCAGAATGGTGGTGAGGGCGTGGTGGTGGCGTGTTTGACAAATAAGGACATGAGCAAAGAGCCTTTTGCCACGTTGGCCTGGGCTCAGTTTGAAAGAGAAAGAAAAAAAAAATTTGGACGGGAAGAAAAATGAAATCACTGTTTGTCAAAGGGAAATAGATAGATCTGGGAGGGAGGGAGGCAGATTTTTATTATGTTTTTGCCTTCTAGTTTCAAAACAGGCATCTGCCCAGGCCAGGGAAAGCCAAAGTGAGAAATTCTCATCAGCCACCTCTCAAGGACCCTGTTTGCTCACAGAGAGGGACCCTCACTCATGGCTCTGGCAATTCCTTCCTTCCTTGCCAGGCAGGGCTGCACAGCTGTGTGAAAAGCCAGTCCCTGTCCATGTCCCATCCTTGTGAGGGCTGTCTCAGGAGTCATGGGTGCTATGGCTTTGAAATGACTGATTCTCTCTAAAGGGGAGGGTCAGAGCCCAGCATTTCATGTTGGGGCAGGATCTGGGTGGCTCAAGGCAGATGTGACCCTCAGCTGCCAACTTGCCAAGGGAAAACATCCGTTTAGAGATCTCTACTATTTACCTGCATGTGCTGCATCTGCAGATGGGTCTGGTTTTCTTTTGTGATCTGAGATGCTGCCACAGCATGGGAAGAAGGGGATTGTGTTGAGCTGGGATGGCACTTCTTTCCCAGCAACCCCCAGCTGTTATCAGTGTGGCTTTTATTGACAGGCCACAAAACACTTGACAAAAGAAATACCACTCTCTTCCTGATAAGGGAGCTGGAGCAGGGAAAGTGCTTTGCCTAGGTCATCAGGCTGACCAGTAGCAGGCTAAAAATAAGACCGAGATCTCCTGTGTCCCAGAGCTATTCTGCCTGCTACATCCCAGAGCCTCATTACTGTAATAACTGCAAATTAATGACTAAACACCATCAGTGCCTGAACACAGGAACAATTTGGGATATATCAAAGCAGATGTGAATAAGTGGCTTTAGGTTGGGGGTTAAAGTGAAGAAAAAATCAGACTTTGAATAGTTGCATGAAGTGCAACATAAAGAATTTTAATATACCAGTTCTTGTTAAAACCATCTATGTTTGGAGGGGCTGCAGGGCTTCAGCTACACTGGCAGGGAGCTGTGCCCATATTCAGAGCTTCTGAACTCTCCAGTGGTGTTGTCCTGTTGCGATGTGCAGAAAATCAGCCAAAGGGCTCGAGTTCCTCTTGCCAAGGAGTTTTGGAAGGGGAAAAGCTGCAGCGCATTCTGGAGGCGTGTGTGCCTTCCTCCGTGAGGCTGTTCTGAGGAGACCTGTCTCACTGCTCCTCGGAGCTGGGAGAAGGTGGGAATGTGTTGATAGGTGCGAGAAGCGAGAGCCTCATCCTCCTTGGGGAGAGGCTGCCAGGTGTTTCGCGTCTGACTCCGCTCCCCGCCGGCGGCGGCGGCGGTGCCTCTGCGGGCTCTGACTCACTGGCTGAAGGAACAGCCAGGACACAGGAATTGCTTTGGGTTTTTTGGGATTTTTAAAAAATTTATGTCTGAATTTTGGGTGCATTTCTTGGCAAATAGCTGGGGAGGAAAGAGCATGAATTTTGCCATTGGGGGTTGCTGCCTTAAATCGCTCATCTCCTGTTCAGTGGCTGGGCTCTGCCTGCTGGTGCTGGGCTTGCTTTAAATCACCTGCCTTTTAATGTGTGGAGAAGCTGGAAAGGCCAAAGAGAGCAGAACATGTGTTCAGCCTCCCTCTAGTGCTAGATTTTGTTAATCATCAGGATTAGTGGCCTGGTTGTAGGTGCTTGCTGGCAAGGAATGTTGGTACCACAGGGCAGCTCTGGCT